CCCCCCCCCCCCCCCCCCCCCCGCAAAGAATAAAATCAGGTGATGTGAAAGAAAGGAAATAATCAGTTACTGTTACACCAAAAGCTGTCTAAAACGGACCCTAGTAGGAATATTTCTCCAAAAGCAACAGACAAAGATGACATACGCACACCGTTCAGCAGCTCTCTTTTAGCGCTGCCATGGATAAGTCTATCCTTTTCGTAAACAAATATTTTTAAAGCAGCATGAAATTAACTAAAAATAAATGAGTGTTCAGCTATCCTTTACACATTATAATTTAATTATCAAGGACACTGAAGGTGAAAATTCACTGTATGCATTTCAAACGGCAGCTCTGATCACAGGTAGATTAAACAGTCGTAGCGTCTCACAGCTAAACGATATGCTAAATCTGAAAAAAAGAGTAGGAAAACGATATGACAAAGTTTTCTGGTATAAAATGATTTTGGACATTCAAAGCTAAAGCAGAGGAGAGTTGCAGAAAGACATGACAACAGTTGCAGGCGTAATTCAGTACCAGTAAACACAAGGCAATGAACACTGAGGCAGAGAAGGGAAAAAGCAACGGTAGCTACGCACACACAGTCGCGGGCTCCAAGATAAGCTAATATTATTCTGGTAAGCAACCCTGAGGTCTCTGTGGGGAGTTCAGGATGTCCACCATCTCACAGATGAGTTAGAGTGGAATCCGAAAAGGCACAGGCAAGGGGGACGAGATAACCAGCAGTGCAGGGAGGCTTCCGCATAAGGGGACACTGAATATACTTAGACTCCTCAGGCTGGAAAGGGGGCAATTGAGGTGGGATGTGAGGAAGATCTATTTAAAAAAAAAAAAAAAAAAAAATCAAGGGCGTACATGGAGAGCAACTGAGCAATAATTTACTCGTCATCATCAGGACATAGGGAGTAAGGGTGCACCCAACGCAATTGTCAAGTGGAAAACTGATGACCACCAAAAGGAAGTTTTCCCTGCTGCCACCCCCAACAGCAACCATACCGTGTCACGGGACTTTGCAGAGGCCAAAAGCATAATCAGGTTAAAAATGGTATTAGACGTGTTAATGAAGGCTACGTCCATCAGCGTCTACTAAAGCAACGCGATCCAGACGCAACATCTGCTCTGTAAACGTTGCGGCCCCGAGCGTCGCTTGCAGAGGGGTTGTTCCCAGGTTCCTTCCTCATGCACCCGCTGCCCGCTGGCAGAGCCAGGGTGCTCCGCTGGAGGGGGTCTTAAAGACCTGCCACCTTGGATCTAACTACAGCTCTTACTATGATCCACAGGACACACACAAACTTGACATGCCAATTTAAGAATTACCGGATAGGAAAGTTAGCCAAAGCACGAGTTAAAACCAAGACACTCAGTTCACATTTTAGAGGTATTATATCAAGCTCTGAAACTTCACAGACATGCCGCTGCATCAGTTTTCATCTAGGGCATACTTCAAAAGTTTTTACAGGGTCAGCCATAAGAACTAGAAGCTATTTTTAAATGAATGCAGAGTCTAGAAATCAAACTAAGAGATCCGCCTTTATCCTCTAAACCAGTGATTTAGATCCCCGGGAAAAAACAACACATAAACATATCCAACAATAAAAATAATTTCTAATCATTTTCAAAAATTAAGCACTACAGGCATTGTAACATTCAAGTTCCATGCAAGGAAGGTTGCATCATCTTTACAACTTCACTCAAAAATATGTTTTAACTTTACACATTTAGAAGCGAGAAGCTAATGTACCTTAATAAAAAAAACTTTTTAAAGTAAGTATTTTTAGAAAAAAAATTTTCAGTAAAATTCTAAATACATTCAACTTGCAATTATCTGAGAGATCTGAGAGAATAACAAGGTGACCTGAATAAAGCACAATAGGTATAATGACATCTTATGTAAATTAGGGTGCAAGTATGTTTGAAAAAATTGAAAGATTTCTATAAAAAGCAGGGACAGATTTAAACATGGCTGTGGAAAGGATCTTCAGTCAGCAGCCTGTACTCTGCATCACACAGCACTGACGCAGCAGCGATGTTGGGAAAGGTCATTCCCAGTTAAACTACAATTCTGGGGATCCACGCAAGGATATCTGAAAGCTTACCATAAAAATTCTGAGGCTCCCCAATGAGCAAAATTGTTAATTAAGACAAACTAATTTTATTTTGGGATA